CTCACATATCCAAATATATTAAAGCATATTTTAAGATTGAGACAAGGATTTTAAGATCTGACTCCTGAGCTGCCATTAAACCTAAATCAATTCCAGCTTCCTCTATGTTTATGCTTTCAAATAAACTTGCTTCTGTTCTAGGACATCCACATCATATACTGCTTGCTTTCAGAAGAGGTATTACAAACTGCCTATCTCAAATTAGGTGGAAAACGAACCCACTTTTCATTTTATGGGAGGTACAGTCACATTTTGTATTTGCACAGGTACACCAGCTAGTGTACTAACCAATGTTAGAAGAGCCAGGCAAGGTTAAGGTTCCCTAGTCAGCCCTTTAGGTTCTGCTGGGTACAGCGGACTTCTTCTCTGGGGAACGAAGAAACAAGCATTTCCTGGATGCACTAAGTACCACCAACTTTAGAAGCTGAAAAATGAACGAAATAATGAAGAGAGACTCAAATGATACAACTTACTGCGAGAAATGAGCCAGGGGCGGGGGGAAGGGGAAGGGCAGAAGCCATTTCTTTGTTGCCCTTCATGTCTACTTTCTTGCCTATATATTCTCTGACCTATTCACCATAACACAGCTGTGTGGAATGTCCTTGCCCACAACTCTTAAGCTTATGGAAGACTTGAATTCTCCTGTTAGCTTTCCATTCCAGTCTCCAAAAATTCAAGGTTTTTTTTCCCCTCTCTGACTAAAGTATAATATACACCCAGGCACTCTCTCACTTCCTAATCCTTATTTGTCTGGATAACTCATTTTCCATTCGTCCCCCAACTGGAAAAATAGGCTACTCAAATTCCCAGTATATCACACCTAACAACCTGCCCAGATCTAACTCATGTCTCTTTTTCATAATGATCTTAATGTAAAATATAGTCTTTGCATATGTGTTGTATATCTGTAGCTCTACCTGTGTGTATACTTATAGATAAAACAACCTCATCCTACTCCCTTTAAAAATTTACACTACTCCAGCTAAACGTTCACCAGCAATGACTCACCCATTGCTCTTCCCATATCTCAACGTCCTTTCTTTCAGAATAAAACCAGAAATGCCCTGCTATAATACACAAAGAGCAACTTGCTCATCTGCACACGACATTTGTTTTACACTGCACCCGTGAAGGAGACAAATGGCATCGCATGACACAGAACAGTTACAACTACCACTCGCTGTGTGCAGAGGAGGAAGCTCAGTCAATATTTGTGGAGTGAAACCTTGGCTTCTGCCAAGCACAACAAAAAAACAAGGTCTGCAGTTCCTCCCAGAATTGGGTCCTTATTCACTGCAAATCATACACAGTAGTTTGGAACATGTAAATTAATATACTGTACTGCATTCTTATGACTCCTAGGCTGCTCTCTCACGCCTGCTTTCCTATTCTGTGAGAGATTGTAATAAAAGCCTTTATCTACATGAAATAGGAGGAAAAAAAGAAAAAAAAAATACACATTTGTCACCTGACACCCAGTTTAGCGAACTGAAAACCTGCAGATCAGAAATATCTACACTCCCTGAATAGTAACAGCCATAAAACAAAAGACCAGTATCTCAAAGAAAAATAAAAATATACCACAGAAAACAGAAGAGGTGAGAGGCACAGGAATGAGCATAAATGACATAAGGAAATCCAGCTGTGCTCTGCGTGAGGTAACAAAGCAAAAACCAATCTGAATAAAGACACTGTAAAGTGGATTTTTTCGAGCCTCATTTGTAAATATGGTTTGAAAAACCTCCTTATTTCTCCTCCAATTACTCAGTTTAAAATACAGTTGACTTCTGGAAACTTGGACACCCAGGCTTAGAGAAAGGAATAAATCATCCCACAGCCACAGGTCCTGCCGGACAGCAAAAGCACTGACCTCTGCTATGTACTGCAAGGTGTGCCTGGCAGCAAGCAGGTGAAACACACCACTTCAGGGAAGGGCAAATGAAAAAAGACCTACGGCTTGGACAATGTTGCCAACTCCCAGTGTCAAGGCCGCAACGCTGAAGTGAGGTATCTGTCTGCACCTAGTATTGTAAGCAGTAAAGATTGCCCGGAGAGCTTCTGCAAGCACGTCTTTTAAAGTGCAGCTATCGTGTTGCTGTACTACGGATGCTGAAACTAAAACACGGTCTTTCACTGATTAGTCCTACATTGCACACTCAAAGAGCTCTGCAATTTGTTCAGACAGTTCTATTCTAACAAACAGAAATAATCTGTTCTAGCTACTGGCCAACACCCAGCATGCTTTCAGAAGAATGTCACACTACACTTCCGACACACGGCACACTAACCGAGTAGCGGCGACGCAGATGCTGCTGCTGATTCGAATAAAACCAAACAAATTGGGACGTCTGTTCGTTAATGGAGAAGGGCCTTTAACCCCCGAGCGCGGCCTCTGAAGCTCGCCAGTCACTCACGGCCGCTGACTGGCCGACACCAGCGAAGGGCAGAGGCCGCACGCCGCTCGAGGGGCCCCGCACTACCGTGCCGCAGCGGTGCCGACAGCGCAGCGACGCTCCTCTCCGCAGGGCCGAAGGGGGCGGGGGGAACGGCGGCGTAGCAGTGCCCGGCCCCGGCC